TGCTGCGCTGCCACACTGCCCGCCCCTCCCCTTCTCTGCGCGGGGCCGCCCGGGCGTCCGTCCGGAGGAGGCATCTGGAGTTGCTCCACTTGGGGTTTTAAGAAACACTATGCAACGGTTATGTTAACTGCGAGGGTTTGTGTGGGGTTTTTTTTATTTTCTTGCCAAACGGGACGGGGCTGCACCGGATCTCAGCCTTTATGCAGCGGAGATGACAGCAGTTTTAATAGTTGTGATAAAGTGATTCTTCCTCTTTGACTGTTGCCCTCGCTCCTTGGAGCACTGAATCCAGAAATAGCACTTGTTTGTACCTGTGAAGCCGAGTAGTCCTGTTAATTTTCAGGTGGAGCTTTGAGTTCTATTTCAGCGGTATTGTTCTAACGAAATATTAATTGTAGTTCAGAAGGCTTGATCACCCTGACTTGTCACTTTCATTTTTGTTTGTCGACAATCTCCTTTGCCAACTTCAGAATTTGACAGCGGTGTCATCAAAAACTTGAACAGTAACACAAACACATGTGAAAATGTTGAAGGCTTTTTGAGTTATTGACCCTAATTTTGTGGTTTATAGTTATCCAGTACCTAAATTAATAAAAATATTCCAGGCATGTGTAGGATGAAGATTTGGAATGTACTTAACAATTTGAGAATACAGTGGTTAGTATTGTGGAGGTATTTTAGTTCCTATGTATGCTTTTAAATATTATGTGAATGGATTTAAAGATTGAAGAGAAAGAGCATTACGCAAATAACAAATACAACTTAAAATATTAAACCGTCTTAGTGGAGAATTTTATGGTTGGTCTGTGTCCAGGCTTTAAAATTTAAGAGAGGATCTGTTCAAGTGCCTGTGGAAAATGAAGTGTTTACAATCTTTAAATAATATATCTGAAATATTTGATCACTTTTTTGCTGTGGAGTGCTCAAATCGAAACTGAATGAAGTGTAATTCATTCAGTAGCATTAGATGTAGCAACATATATTTCAACTCTTTTCCACGATGTTTTCTATATAAGTTAGCTCTGAAATTTTAGAATACTCATCAAGTCTGTGTAGGAGGAATATGACGTTTGAGTGATATTGGCAACAGAATAGAAAACTTCTGAGGGAGAAACAATATTGGAAAAGATTTTGTATAGATTTTGGTGCTTCTACAGTAGACTTTAAATTTCAGAAAGAAAAAGCAATAAAACAATACAGTAGGAAACTGTGGTATTTGAATAAGTCGTCTGTAAATTGCGTCATATACGTTATTATATACTCATACTAGTGAAGGAAAGAAGTACTTTCTTGCTGACCGAATTAACTAGTGGACAGTTCATATATTGAAAGTGACTTTCCTCTCCTGTCTGTTCAAATCCTAATACATAGCCTAACTTCTACTTTTTCCTGTAATGCTAGTTTTCGATAAAGGCCTTGCAAATATGACCTTCTTCCCCCCTCAGAAGTCTGCTGAAATATAAGCAGCTTATTTTCTGCAGATTCAATAAAATTAGTATTTAAGGAGTAAATGGAGCATACTAAAAATATTTTTACGTTAATAACTTATGTGTTTCTTTGGAGTCATGCCTCAGTAGACGGAGATGATACACTTACATTTGTATATAAAGTACTGTAAATTCATACAATTTAAAAAAAAAATAATAGCTGATATAAACTACAAAATAAGTAATTGAAATTCATGTCTATGTTTATAATTTAATTCTCCTGATAAACGTAAAGCTATTGATTGGAAGTATATTACTTTTATCTATAGGCACAAGTTCATCTTATAGACTAATTTTAAGACTAAATTTTTACTTTATTCTGTTTCACCTCTGTTTCTAGTGTTTCAAGAAATGTGATTGCTCACCCTGAGCAGTTACTATATATTTATGATATTGTCATTGCCTATGAATGTGACAAGACATATTTGCTTCGTTTAATTAAATTTGAATGGAATTTGTTGGGATGAGAAGAAGGAAATGTGTGCAGGCACAGTGCTTAATTTGAGTACATCATCAATTGGTGAGGGTATTTGAAAACTTATTTCAGATATGAGTGTCAGGGTTTTTTTTAATAAAAATGCACTATCTTTGTTCAATTAGATAACTTTTATTCAAGATTTCCCTAATGTTAAAGGTAAAGCTAAAAAATACTTGAATAAAACATGAATATTAGCTTTCTAAAAAATTATTTCTGTAGAACAGCCTCTTGCGGAGCTGTAAGCTGTATCAGTACAGGACAGTGACCATACTCCTGACTGAATAGATACCTATAAGAGGGAAGAAAAACCTTTAAAAATAAAAGGCTACTTTTTACATAAAGCGTGTTTAAAAATTTGTCTTTTAAACTTTTGACCCCTCCCCCACCTTCCATCCGAAATGGTCATAGGTAGTAGTGGCTTGACAGAGACACAGTAACAGAATGGGGTTGATGCGTTTTTCTGGATGGTGGTGGTCCTGATTTTTTGTTTTTTTTTTTCTAAAAAAATGGACTCTGGATATTTTGTGTTGCTTTAGGAAAAGTGAACACTGGCCTAACATGTCACTGAATAAGTGTGCTCTCTCTTGAAGAACGGAAGAATAAAATTTCTTCGGGGGCTGAATGTTTAAGTTAGGAGTTCTGAAACTTTCTACAGAAGGAGACACTGTGCTCAGCACACCTTTGTAAAGAATATACATGAACAATGGGAATTTGAGAGCCTTTCACTTTGTGTTGGTCTAGATCAGTAATCCATACTTCATTATTGCATGTTTGCAAATTGTACACTGGGAAATCTAAAAGTTAGTAAATCCTATAGTATTTTTTTTTTAATAAAGGTTGGTTTTGTGTCTCTCAATATAAGTAAGATAGGAAAATGCAAACAGTATGGAAATGAAAGGATATTAGGATATTACAACAGTAGTTGTTATTCTAAATCAGAAGATAAGTTTATAAGATTATTTTGTGCTTCACGGAATACTGAAAATGAAAGTTCAGTTTCAGGGTTAGAAAAGAACAACCTTCTCCCCAAAGCCTGTAATAATTCTAAACAAATAGTACAATATGAAACATAGCTATACAGTGTTCACTTTTGTTGATCTTTAGGTGTCTGATTGCAATATTGTACTTGTGATTACTACCTGAAAGATTTTTTTTTTTCTCTACATTTGGTAATAAGCCTGTGAATTAACCTAATCTTTTTGTATCTTTTTTAATGAAAACTTATAACAGTGATCAGAGTAAGTGACAATGCTGCTGCTTAACAAAAATAAAGACAAAAAGAGATTGGAAAATACTTTCAAAATTCAGAACATGGAAAATTGCAAAAGTTGCAAGGATTTATTTAGCACTTGGTGTATTTTATTTTGGATAATTATGTTAGAAACAGTGCTGCAATAAAGAAGTTAAGGAAAGCTGAAATATTTGAAATTCAATAAGGTAAATTATTGGATAACTGGATTGCAGAAACACCTGAAATTCTTATTAAAATATTCAAATTACAAAGTATATTGCTTCTGTCTTCTATTTCAGTTATTAGAGGTTAGTTTGGTGCCTCTGTGGTGGTGGCTTTAAGATAAGATTTTACAAGAGATTATGGCTACACATGGCTTAAAATTGAGACCATTTAAGTTCGTGAAGGGTGAAAGATGGCCAAAGCTGGGGGATGTGGTTTTTTGGGGGTGGGTTGGTTGGTTGTTTTGTTTTCCCAAAAAATTATCAAGAAGTAGTATGATAAGGTGTTTTCTGAAGCTTGGTGTCTTGAGATATGGAGAGACGTGAAGTACGGTATGGTCTGAATGGTTTCTCTGTGGTAGGAACACTGATTGCCTGAATGTTCACTTTCCTTAAACACAGGGCAAAACATTTTTTAAATATATGTGATCTGTCTGTACAAGATTGTTAAAAAGTCGATGCAGTAGCCTGAGTACTGCTGGGTATTCTCAAGAGTTTGTTTCAGTGCAGCCGTGCTTTGTTGATCAAAAAGGTAATCCTCATGTTTGCTCTTTCTAGTCGTCAGCAAGAAATCGAAGAGAAACTCATAGAGGAAGAAACTGCTCGAAGAGTGGAAGAGCTTGTGGCTAAACGCGTAGAAGAAGAGTTGGAGAAAAGGAAGGATGAGATTGAGCGAGAGGTTCTTCGCAGGGTGGAGGAGGCTAAGCGCATCATGGAAAAACAGTTGCTCGAAGAACTCGAGCGACAGCGACAAGCTGAACTTGCAGCACAAAAAGCCAGAGAGGTAACGCTCGGTCGTTTGGAAAGTAGAGACAGTCCATGGCAAAACTTTCAGTGTCGGTTTGTGCCTCCTGTTCCGTTCAGAAAGAGATGGAATACAGCAAATCTAATTCCCTTCTCGTATAAACTTGCATTGCTGCGAAACTTAATTTCTAGCCTATTCAGAGGAGCTCACTGATACTTAAACAGTTATTCTCCTAAAACCTGAACAAGGATACTTGATTTTTAATGGAACTGACCTACATATTTCAGAATTGTTTGAAACTTTTGCCATGGCTGCAGGATTTATCAGCGATCCTTTCATTTTTGGGGAAGGGTATTGAAAATCTGTAATGATGTATCCTTCATTTGTTTCATTTTGTTTACCTAGACTGTAAGAGGCTTTTGCCTTCAGTCAGGCAAAAAGCAGGGTCCAGCAGTGAGCTGCAGTACCTGTCTTTAACAAATAGGTTTCTTACTTTTCATTTAAAATGAACATTTTCCTTGAGCATACATTGGACTAATTCTGGGACTTCGAGCATTAAGCCCATCCACGTCTTCACGAAGGATCTATGTCCAAGTCATTATATCCATTTTTAATAACTACTAACAACTCCTTTTTTTTTCCCTAGAAGTTACAAAAGAGCAGGTTGCCCTTGTCTGAAGTCAAGCTGAACATGTGACTTGGGTTGTGGGGGGGTTTTTTGTTGTTTTTTTTTTTTTTTTTCAATCAGCAGCTGGAGCGGAAGCTGAAAATGTCTTTCTGTGAGACAGTAATTTGCTACTAAAGGCTTTGATGCCTGCCTGCACCGATCATTCCAGGATCCAGAAATTTCAAGACAAACTTTAATCCATAAAGCAAATTTGTGCTGAACAGTCATGAGTCTCAAATGCCTTTTTCACTCTGTACCTCCTACACAAGTTTATTTTAAATTAATATTTTGATTGGCTTACAAAAGGAAAGACAGTAGTAAGGAAGCTTTCTCCTTCGTACTGTATGTGACTTATCTGTCACATAGTGTCTTTAAAAAAAAGGGAACACTGAGTTACAATACATAATAAAAATATTAAATTACACTTGTTTTGCAAATTCAGACCTTAGCTGTGAAAGAATTGAAGTTGAATTTAGATATCTATAGTCAGCAAATGCTTCATGAGGTTTTATAGAGGTTTTCATTTGATCAGATGGATGACTTTTTTTTAAAAAAAAAGTATTTTTGCTATTGTCAATATGATGTGAAGAAATCCCATCAGTTCTTTGTAACGCAGAATAAACTTCCATGCCTGGAGTGAAGTGTGCTAGCTAGTAGCTGGTTACTAGTCATAGTAAGAAGTTTTCTCTTCGTATGCTTGCTTTGTTCATATTAACCTTTTTTTCTTACACAGACACAAACCTCTGGCTAACTTTAAATCTTCCAAATATTAAAATAATTTGGATATATATCACGTGAACTGAAACACCTCAAAAACTTTCACGCAGTCTTCATACTTATGAGTTGCATAACAGAGTTTCATAAAATTCACCAAGAAAACAACAATTGCAAGGCTTTATTTCCTGATCTTGCCTTCCCTGGACTCCTGAATTCCAAGTTCAGACTGCAAATGACAGTTTCAGCTGTCTTAAAATTGTCAGAATATTGAATGTTAAGTCCATTCTCCCCATGAAAGAAGCCCATAGCTCCATGAAGTATGGATTACCATTTGTATTTTTCACTAACAGTAAATGTATTTTTCTTATTAATTGTTTGCCTTAGGAATGATTTACATATTTTTGTTCCTTCTTATCATAAACATCTGCATTCCTCAGCTCAGCCTTCCTTGTATGTTGTTTCTTTATAAATGGTTGAGCTGCTGATGCAGGTATTGCCAAGCTAACAGTACAAATCATTTTAAAGAGGAAGCTGGCGCGTATGGCAGCCGAGGAGCACACTCTGCAGGACACTGGACAAGACAGTAAATATTCAACTTTTAATGCTGATTAAAGGAGTATAGGTAAAGAATACGTAGGTATACTTAATTGGTGAGACAAACTATTCACTTTATTTATATTTTCTATATTACTTTTTAATTTGGTAAATACTATCCAGTTTTTGTAGTTGTCCTTGTTGATTTGTGTGATATTAAAATTCTAGTAATAAATTGTCAGGATTCTATGATTAGGGAGGGTTTAGTTGGTTGCTGTTTGGACTGGGCGGGATGATTTAAATTGAGTGCTAGAAACCAGTTTTAGTGGCTGCACAGTTTACTGTTGTGAGACAAAATGGGTGGCTGTAAAGCTGCCGCTTTAAGTCAGTTCACAAAAGAATTCTGAGAAAGATTAGTGAACATGCAGAAATTAGTATTTTACTTTACTAACATCTTGCCCTGTCCTCCCCTTTAGGAAGAAGAGCGTGCAAAGCGTGAGGAACTAGAGCGAATACTAGAAGAGAATAATCGAAAAATTGCAGAAGCACAAGCTAAACTGGTATGTGAAGATGTAGTTGACAGTTCTGTAGGAGAATACAGGTCCCTCTGCCTGATTTGCAACACGATTAAAATAAACAAATCGACCCTTTCTGAGGTTTAACTTGTCTGTTGCCGGTTATGTCAGTAGCGTTGCTCTCCTTCCCTTAGGCATAAGAGACCAGATCCTCAGCAGTAACGCTAGTCTGAAAAAATAGTTCAGGTGCAGTTAATTTAGAGGAAGATAACTGCCTTCAGAATTTAAAAAGTACATTTTTAACCATATTTCACAGGGAAGGTCAAATTAAGTTTGCAAACACGTTCAGCTTTTGAACAGAAGTGACTAATCCCGTTTTGTTGAGCAGGACAAGTACAAACTGGATTTGAGACTAGTGTAATGTTGATGTGCAAGTGCTGAAAGGGACTTTCAGCATAAACTTAAGACGTCTAAGTTAGGAAAGGCTAGCTTATGTTGGTCTCCAGGCCTATTTAAGCAGGTGCCTGCCCCATGAGAACATTCAATATGTGTTAGCTGATTGTAATCAATTAATGATAAGCCGAACTAAGCTGCTTCTAAATCCTGATTGAACTGTATCGGTTTCAATTACCCAAATAATTGTACCTTTTTCAAGTAAAGATGATGCTTCTTAAAACTCCTTGCTTGAACTACATCTGCTTTAGATCTCTCTCTGTTTTACCCTTTTCCTAACCTGATGTGTTGGAAATGGGACAAATAGAAAATGTAAAGTATTAACTGACATAATGAACAAAATAAGCACCTTTAGAAGACAATTGGAAGAGCTGTAAGAACCATGTCAGTGTAAGGATTGACTTGCTACAAATGAAGTAAAGATGGTTTTGAGTTAGGAGGGGTTTTTAGATGAGTTTTGCAGTGGGAAGACCTCTGTTTGAAGGTCTGTTACTTCATTATATTGTGCCGTCATCTGACACGTGACAGGTGTCAGAGGAATTTCTCTGTATGTACACTGACTTCCTTAATTAAAATATAATGTGTTGTTCGCAAAGCAATGCTGAAGAACATTGCATGCAAGCACTCAAGATTTCAATACATTAGCTGTTGAAAGTTTTCAGTGTTTCTTCTAAACTCAGTTCAAGTAACCATTTTATAAATAGTTTCACTGAAACCAGCTATGTCATCTAGCTCGGGTAGAACTGCTTACAAATTATGCAGGATTGGACCTGTTTGAAAGTTAACACGAACCTGTAAATTGCTTTTATGACTACAAAATGTGCTGGCCTAAATTCTGCCATTTTCATATATAGGCTGAAGAACAATTGAAAATTGTTGAAGAACAAAGAAAGATTCATGAGGAGAGGATGAAACTAGAACAAGAGAGACAACGTCAGCAAAAGGAAGAGCAAAAAATTATCCTGGGCAAAGGGAAGTCTAGGCCAAAACTGTCCTTCTCACTAAAGAGCCAGGATTAAATTGCAACTCTGAACTCTTAAAAGAAACCAAGAAACATACAAACAAACAAACAAAAACCCAACAAAAAAAAAGGATAACAAAAAAAACTTTGTATGGTAGCTTCATGTTGAAGTGTTTTGGTTTTTTTCTCTCAATTTTTTTTTTTTGGTCTTTTTTGAAAGTCTGGAAAGTTAGCTTGTTCTAATAGGGGCTGTGCTCTGCAATTCTTAATTTTTTTTAAACTTCCATTAAGTTAAACCCTTATCAGATCATTGTTGCCTTTTAGAAGGTAATCTGTTCTCATCAGTTTTGTTTCTGTATTAGTGGTCTGAAGCAGATCAGGTCACTATGAATTGTGGATGATCTGATAAGGTTTTACTTACCTACATCAGAGTTTGACTCTGATAATTGACGGAACTTTATACTGGGTATTGCTGACTTTTAATTTTTTTTTTTTTTAAAGAAGTCAGTAAATACATGAGTAAATTGCCATAGTATTACTGGACCTCTGTGGTTTATTGTTAAATCAGTGTCCTATGATACTGTCCCATTGTTGCGCTTGATGTTCCTGATACAGGTAAGGAAATAGTTTGTCATTTCTGCTATAAATACATAGAGAGAGTTCAGTATTGTCTCTGTTAGATTTGTTTTTATTACATTGACAGCATTCAACCAGCGTTCCCCATTGTGTAAATAAACCAATTTGCTGAATAAAGTGAAAGTCTTAAATTCGTATGTTTAAGTAAATTTTTTTAGTCCACTTCTATAAACAGCTATAAGAGTGACAATTCACATTATTAAATTCAATACTATAGTGGTATTTTTTTTTAATTTTGCTTTAAACTATTGTGGCTTCTCCTACTTACAATGCAAAATTACACACAGTAAAAAGTCCCCGCAGTTGTGAATGTTTTTGATGGCTGCTGCTGTTTTCATGAATGTTGGTTTTTATTCTGACAGAGACTTATTTCAGCTGTAGTATCATGTTTAAACAGCTGTTCGGCTTACTGCACCCAGACCAGTACTTCGCTATCTGACCCCCTTCAGTTCACCTCATAATATAGTGTATTGTATAAGTTAAGGTCGTTTCCATATAATGAATCTGATGGATCCTAAAGGATTTTAAAATGGAAGGTTTTTTTCCCAAAGGACTGGACTGGCTAGCATACTTGAAGTCAAAAACAGAAAGTGAGATTCTGTCTAAATGTATTGTTTTAGCCAGAAAGCAACTGTTATTCATATACAGATCTTGAATGTTACCAATTTATATATACAGGTTTTATTTTGAAAAATGAAACTACAGATTGAAATCTATATATAAAAATCCCCTTTTTGTATATGATTCTTCTGCCAAAACCTGGATTACTGTAGCTTGTCCAGTTCTAAAACTTTCTTTTTCCTGTCACTATGCGACATCTGTAGTAACCATAAAATGAAAGTTACCAGTAGTTGCCTGAGTATTTGAACTGTCACTGGACAAAGTTGGAAATAATTCTTGATATTCCCAAAGGATCTGTTTCTATAGGTTTGGCAAATTAAATGTGGGAGCAAGTTGAGTGTGCCACCAAAAGCAGTATTCAACGTGCTTTGTATGAAACCTGGGCTTGGGGGCAGACTGATGTGTTTCTTTTGTCCAGTATGTCAAGAAAAATGTGAAGACAGTAAAATAGCGAACACTATTACTGTGCTTAAATTTGTCTATACATTGTATTACAGAAGAAGGTTGAAGGTTGCTTGATGCATAAAAACAAAAGCTGAAGCCAAATAAATCATGTACATGACCTGTTGGCAGGAGCAGGCTGTATTTAAAGCTCAACTGTATTTCTAAAACTGAAAACATCCCCTGTTCCCTTATGAGAAACAAGCTATTAAAAGTCAATACTCAAAACAGACCTATGCATTTTTGTTTCCTCTCCTAAAAGCAAGAAGCTATGTTCTCATACATGCAGCTGTGGTATCAGACATTCTGTTCTACATCGCTTATTTGCCGCTAAGTAGTAGTGTGTGTTCTTCACACGTAACGTTGCACAGGCTTAGTAGACTTCGAGAGGTTATTTTCAATCACACCGTTGGGACTGCTGCGTGGGCAAAATGTCCAGTCGCAATTGGATCGACGCTTCGGCTGTTCCACACCTCCCTACCTGTGTTTCCTTCCCCCTGCCCTCAAAGAAGAAAAAACAGCTACGTATTTGTTTTTGCTGTTGTAGGGGCAGAAGTGCTGTTGGTAGAACCCGCTCTTAACGCCCCAAAGCATTCCGAGGTAGATGGCTTTTTGCAGATGGTGCGAGGGGGCGTCACATTTGCATTACTCTGGCGGTTTTTTTCTTTTTAAAATTACATGGGACTTCAGGGATGCTGTTGATTTCAGGGAAAATAAAGAGGTGCATGCAGTTTGGGAGGGGGGTAAACTGACATTTGATGATAAGAACTTCGATGTTATTACATTCCCTTAAAACTTGGTATCCATCTAATGCAAAGTCGACTGGAGCGTAGGCTGACATTTAGGTAGTGATGAAACTGAGCACGAGCTCTGCATGTGGGTCTACATGAGGATATTGACCTGCCTAGAGAAATTGCTGTTAGAAATCATGATGAGTGTTTAATTTTTATTTCATTACTTTGGAGTTTTGATGTCAAGTTTTAGTTAGGCGGTTTTTGGTTCTGGTTGTTGGTTGGTTGGGGTTTTTTGTGAAGAGTGTCCTTCCTCCCCAGGGGAGGCAGGGAGGCGGTTTTTGTTGCCACGTACCTTGAGCAGTATTCATTTCCCTTGTATGATGACAGAAGAGATTGTAAGTTTTCCCAACCGCTGTTCATAGATGTCCTGGAGAATTGTTTTAATAACGAACAATGCCTCTATCCGACAGAGGCAGGAGAGAGTGGAGAGTCTTACAGCAGTATCCCAGCAGTCTGCTGTTACTTGGGAGATTTGTTAAACTGCCCTTTGAACTTCCCACTTTAGTTACCATCGTTTTTCCAAGTACAAATGGAAAGCTGACTGCTGCGATACGTATTGGGGAGCTGATGTCCTTAAGGCTTCACAAAGCTGAGAGAATTACGCTGGCAAGGTGTCTCAGCTGCCAAGCAGCTGCACACCTATGTATAGACGGATGCGTCAGTATTATCTTACTGAAGTGTCAACACTTCATCGGCTCATGTCTTGCCTTGAAAAATAAGGATTCATCTTCGTGGTCTCTCCTTTTCTTTTAAGCTTTGTGCCACCTCATACACTTCACTCTGCGTGTTGCTCTTGCCCACTTGAAGATTGTAAACCCCTCTTTCTGATGCTATTAGCGTGCCCTCTTAACAATCTTAATTTTTCACTCAGAGGGTGGTGAGGTACTGGAACAGGTTGCCCAGAGAAGTTGTAGATGTGCCATCCCTGGAAGTGTTCAAGGCCAGGTTGAATGAGGCTTTGGGCAACCTGGTGTAGTGGAGGGTTTCCCTGCCCGTGGCAGGGGGGTTGGAACTAGATGATCTTGGAGGTCCCTTCCAACCCTAACCATTCTATGATTGGTTTGAGTTTCTGTGCCGTGTTTTGCATGTACACCAAATATGAAGGTGTTGGTTGTGATTCATTTTTAACTGCATGAAGTGTCTCAAAGATTTTTGGAGTATTTGAGGATGTATTGTCCCTTTGGCAAGCAGGGGGAAAATTATTAGCTCTGTTATTGTAGGGTCTCAACACAGTGCAAGTTCAGGTGAAATTGAAGTTGATAAAACACTCTTTGGTTTGCATTGCAGAGATGATTTATTGCAGAAGAGAACTACAGAGCTGCCTGTGTGCCTAAGGCTCATTCCAAGGCAGGAGAGTACAGTCGAAGTGCCCAGGCTGGTATGGTTTCAGACCAACAGGCCAGTCCACCTGGAGCTGAACCATGACTTTCATGCACCTCTGTTCTGTTCTCATGCTAGTACCACCAAACGTGTGCATTCCAGGGCTATCCCCTCTATCCCTGTCCCACTGTGTTGCGAGCCAGCTGAAGAGTGCTGAGCCTGACATTTCCATCCTGAACAACCTAGTGCTTCTGGTGGTCTTTCCTGGACTGACACACAGACCTAAGGGTTACTCTGGCTCAGCGGTCAGCTCTGCCCAAGGGGACATAAACCCTTGTAAAAGACCAGTCATGTAGCAGAAGTTTGATCCCCAGTCTTGATTCCCACTCCACGTATCTCATCACAGACTACAAATTAATATAAGAATTTCTGTTTTCAGAGAGCGATACTGAGAATCAGTATAAAAATAAGTCAAACAGAGAATTAAATCACAGGGTTAGGACGTACCAACTTCTTTTCTGACTTTTGTTACAAGGCTGCTGAAGTTCTATGGCTGTATTTAGGAGGAGCCAAGCTCATTTGCTAAGAAGCTATGGTTAACCAAAATTGCGGTTATAAAACAGACTTGGAGAAGACAAATTAACATCTAGATACATACTCACTCTGCCATAAATACAGAAAATACATTGTTATGGTGTGAATATCTTAGGAGCTGTCTCAAGTATCCAGCACACTTGGCCTTTTGTACAAACAGTAAACAATCCTTTTAAATCAGTATGTGTCAATCATGCGATAATTTGTCTTTATTAAATTTAGCAGTAAGTGTATCTAGTGAGTTACATCATTTCCACTTTCAAAATTGTTAATTTTCAAGTAATGATGAATGACGGTGAAGTTTTCCACTTAATAAAAAATTTCATGTCCCTTGTATTCTTATTCCCGACGTTTAGACTGATGTTTAAAAGAGAATCAGGGATTGTAGGCCCGATCCTGATCCCATTCAGATTAGCTGCCTTTTTGATATAGATTTGGTAGGATCAGACCCAATATCTATGTAATCATTGCTCACATCACTGTCAGAAAGAAGCCAAAACGAGTATTCAGCGAAAAAAAAAAAAACCGATTTTTGCTGTAAGGCCGGTTGAAGTCCAGGAAATAAAGGTTTAAGCGATGCAAATGGCAGAGTCCCGGGTTTTCCCTGAACGTAAAGGGAAAGGCAAGTCTCACCTGTTCCCTGGCTCATCCATCCATCCATCCATCCATCCATCC